CGTCTCTTTGATGACATGACATTAACTGCTTGATTTTTACCGTACATTTCTGCCATATGGACATCAACTTGAGATAGTCACCACTGATAAGCTATTACTAAATATATAATGTAGAAACTATAATTATCTGTAAAGCTGCTTTGCAACGATTTGCATCATGAAAAGTGCTATATACAAATAAACTTGAATTTAATTGAATCTGAAAAAGTGTTTTGACCCAGAAATAGTGACATATGTCAGACTTAATCAGATAACTTCCTGCAAAGTTTACCCACAAAATATATGTATGAACTAGCTAATCAAGAAATTTGGTTCCCATTTGAAAACAGGAAGTCAAACATGTTTAAGATGCATAGTAGATGTTACCTGTTAAAGCCGATAAGTTTCCAGTTGAGCAGGTCAGTTAGCTGCAGCGGCGTTGAAGTCCAAGGTTGAATGCCGTCTCTGTATCTACTCAGATGTGGCATGTACACAGACAGTGCTGTAACCAGCCGCCTCACTGCAGCCTCCTCGCTACCTAGTACTACCAAAGTTCGGCCACACAGAAGGCTAAACACTGCATGCACTGCAAAGGGAAACTGTTGCAAGAACTGCAACGCTGCTCGCCCTACTCTGCCACGTCTCCGTCTGGTCCCACCTTCTCTTTTATTCTTTGGAAGACAAGTAGGAAAAGTGCATTCGGAGGTTGTAGAGGCAGTGGTGCTCCGATAGCTGAAGCAGTCTGACAAATCATCAGGTACTATCCGGCAGGGCTCATCTAACAAAGAGAGAGGGATTAATTCTGATGCATGACAAGCATCTTGGGAGCTTGACCGACCAAGGGTCAAAGTCATAGGACAGTCAGGTGGGGTTAAGGTGACAGCAGGATAAAAATCTTGTGGATCCTCCATACAGGCGCCTCCATGGTCTCCAGGAACTTTATTTCCCACACCGTAAACGCACTCAACTTGTTTGTCCTCTTGGTTATGAGATATGTCTTTCTCATCAGTCTCTTGCTCTGGACTTTCCTCATCAATTGCACAAGAGTATGAAGCACGCAGGTCTTCTGGTAGGATTGATTCCGTTGTGCAAAGCACCTCAATGCTGTCTTCACTGCAAGTCCGTATGGTAGTTACCCTCCCTTGCCTTAGACCTTCCAGCACGGCTGTAGTGGACAAAGGTGGAGGTCTTTGCAGTGCTGTATCCATTAGTATATTTGAACCCTGGGATCTGAAGGACTTCTCCGTCCCTAAGACCTCAATACTATCTCCACTACTAATACTGGTCTTCATCAAAGCTGAAACACACATTTCCACATTTTCTTGGCAATCCGAAGCTGAAACTACGCACCCATTTTCCATTTCAGTCTCTACTACAGAGGATGTTAGGGGTCGGTTATCCTCGGCTGGGGTATTTACATAGCTGGGTACAGCCGTAGATTGGCTAGATCCACCCAGCTCTAGTTTGATTGGCACCATTTCAACGCAGGAGACATATGACTCAAGACTGACAGGTTCACTTAGAATCGATGGTGCAGGAAGAAACGATGGTTGTCGGACTGAATGTTGACCAGCTATTCCAATCTGTAACCCCACTTCCTCTTCCAAGTCACATGGATCCTCAAATAAGAAATTGGTAGATTTGAGGTTGCGGAGAAGATTGCGGCAGAGTTGTTGTGAGTAGAGATGGCAGGTGTCTCCTCTGAATGTCCTCTCAATGGAGTTCAGTTGCTGTAGAGCCTGTTGGTGGAAGTAGTCATCACACAACTCCTCGAGAGTTTTCAGACGCTTGTCAAATCGGCAAGATGAAATGGAGTTAATCGGCTTCAGAGAATGCAAGGGTGTGTCCGTGCAAGGAAAAACATTACATTCTAGCACTGGCCCAGCAAGCTGACCGTGCCTTAAATCATCCAGGTCAAACTCGAAAGAATGAGGAAGGTCATCCGGTTCATAAGGAGAATATTCAGAGTCTCTAAGCTTCCTGGTTCGGTAGCAAGTGACCTGTTTTAGAAGGCTTTTGAATTCCTGAATGGATTTTTCTACACTGGCCAGTTCATCACCTTTGTCAGCCAATGGCGTTGGGCAAGATCCTTTATCCTGCTTGTTCTTCCTTCTCCCTCCAAATTGTTCATCTCTATCGTATGTTATACATGACCTATTCCCCTTTTCACACTCTACTTCTGCCTTTCTTGAAATCTCACATCTGCCTTTCTCTTGTAATTTCACTTCATCTCTGTGAGATAGTGATTTCTCTTTCAGTTTCACATCTAATGTAGGTATACCATTCAACATGCGTTCCCTTTCATTGGTGCACATTACAGATGCATTATTTACCTCTCTTTCTATTTCTCTAAGTAACACGACTCTTGTATGCTCCAAATCTCTCAGTTTTATCTCCAGTTCATTTGCAAAGTTCTTCCTGTTCCCTGTTTTTAGACATTCGGAGACTTTGGAGAACTCTGCGGAAAGCTGCTGGAATTGCTGTATGATTTTATTCTCATCAGAAGACACATAGGCAAGGCAGAGAGGTCGCACAAACCCTCGAGCCTCCAGGTCATAAAGCGTAAGGTGGTGCACATATGCAAACGCTCCTTCTCTAGAATCCCCTAAAACTACCTTTGAGTCTTCTACAAAGTTCAGTTTCAAAGAGCCACAACCTGCCGGGCCGGTGAGCGAGGTCTGATAGTCCACTGACATGATCCGAAGGGAGAAGTGGTTCAAATCAAATGTCCCACAAGCCTTGGTTTCAGGAGGAACCGTAAGCAAAGGCTGGGGCCCAACTTGCTCTGAAAACTCTGATAAAAGGATAAAGTCCTTCGTAAAATTAGCTCCAGACGTCTTGGACCATGGGGTGGTGTCCCCAGTGTAGGGATACAAGGGAACAGACAGTTCCTCTGGAAGTACTGACGGGTCTTTGACTATTTCACTGAAATCTGTTTCTTTAGTGAAAGCCACCAAGTCTGGAGAGCTAATCATGGTGGTAAAAAGTTTCAAACGAACCGAACAGGGGTGTAAAAAATATTGCGAAATTATACTTTAGTTAAAGGACTGTTTCAAAACATTTCAACATTTAATTATGATTTTCATAATGTCTTCAGTTAAGGCTGTTACCGCCACAGATGTAACCTATGTCCTGTTACATTAAATGTTCAATTTAATTGACTCAGCAGCATCTGATTGTATAGTTTATAGTTATAGATATTATATTTGCATTCAATTTAAGTTTCACCAGTAAAAAAATAAATAAAAAAGCAAGAGTTTAGGTCAACCACTATATGCTGTGATTGCTGAAATCTCTTCACAGGACAAATGGACCAGTGTGGAAAAATGAAATAGATTTCACTGGTTTTAAATAAAAACTGCAAGACGTCCATTTGAAAGACTTTTCTGGATTTTTTTTTTTAAAGATTTAAGTGATGATAACCTATTATATATTTGGCACACTGAAAGTCTAAAATTGCTATTAATAAAAAAGTCTCGATGTATTTAAACGTGAAACTATAATAAAAAGTACTGAAATACTAATTACACACAATAATACTCAAGAAAACTTATCACTCACATACTTTACACCCCTGAAACCGTGCTGTCAAAATAGCTGTCCTGATCCAGTGCAGGAGGTCTAGTTTTACTACGTATTTCCAGTAAACTGATCTATCGCCGCATTAAAAGAGAACGACACGTATTTCAAAACCACAGCAAGCATGAAATGATCAAGTTCACACCGATTTAAAAATGACATGCCTGACGCCCTATACAGACCATGACAAACGCAATGTCATGAAAACTGACTAACGTTAGTCAATTCAGAATAATACACGTATAAATGAACTTGCCGGTGTTCGCTGACGGATTCAAACTAAATCCTTTGCGCTTTTTTTTTTATAAGTTCATTTATCTCGTTGTTTAGAAGTGAACTAACATTAAAGCGCTTTCCGGAGCGGTAACAGAAGCAGCTTTTGCCATAGTTAGCCATGTGACACCTCTGGTTGGGGGGAGTGATCAGAACCAGCTCAATCCTTACTTGTTTCCGCCTCAAACCAATTCCTCAAAATAAACGTGGAAGAAAATAGAATGTGAACGCGCGTTATTACATTTTTTGGTCTCTCGTAAATGTTAACAGTCATCAGGCAAATGACAATATTATTATTGGCATTTTTCTTAACGTATCAATAAAAATCAAATACAATTATTTTAATCAGCCAATCCTTTTACTGCCACTTCCGTACTAAAATTCATATAAAAATTGAAGTATAATATTCTTAGAATAGGAACTCTGTACAGGCAGGTAAGCCTCTTTTCATTTTTGACCTTATTTTGACATTAAAAATCCCCTTTTCTTTAGGCCATTCCAAGAAATGTAAAAGTGAGTGACCTAAATGATTATTAGAAGCCAATTTTTAGTTTTTTTTTTTTTTTCTGTCAGATTATCATAAACATCGACGGTTTATGGAATTTATGCAGCAACTTATTACATTTCTATAAAGGAAGTGGCCTGTTAACTGCTGGTTTAATTTTTAGTTTTTTTTTTTTTTTTCTGTCAGATTATCATAAACATCGACGGTTTATGGTATTTATGCAGCAACTTATTACATTTCTATAAAGGAAGTGGCCTGTTAACTGCTGGTTTACGGTTATGCCATATCGTTTTTATTTGACCTCTCATAAACCATGACTTTAGTTTATTGTATTTTCACATGATAGCAGCCAAATCAACACTGAAAGAGGAACTATAGCATACAGAAACACTTTGAATGATAAGCATGTAATTCATATCAATGGTAATAAGCAGAAGTGACACCACAAACAACTGAAAATTGTGAACAATCTTTATTCAGACACGCATCCCAATAGCAAACAAGAGTTCATATAAGAACTCATGTGACCCTATCAGCTGTGTAGGACTGGTGTGAAATTTGATCCTACCAATATTTTTTATTGTTTCTGCTATTTTTTAACCAAACTTGTTGGCAAGTTATAAGATAAATACAGCTTTACATATTAACTTTGTTTCATTATTTCTGTCTTTTCTTAGCCATTAAAGCTGGTATTGACGCATAGAATAGAATAGAATGTGGGCATAAAGGCTTAGACAACCTTCAATGCACATTTCCCCCAATCAAACACTCAGTAGTTTTGCTTCTTTGTACACAAGAACAACTGACAAAAATGCATAGAAAAATATTTTCAACAAATTAAACGCATTACTGCTTTATTGTCTTAATACTGAGTATTTGCTATGATTACTGCCATTGCTCCAAAAAGCAAAATCGTAGAACATATACTCTTGATCAACGCAGAGCTCAGAACAGGCTATTAACAAAAGAAAATAGGCTATATCTAAAGTCTAAACCATGAAATCTTTCTCTCACTTCTTTTAAAATCTACATCCAAGCAAAATTCCTGACTAGGTAAGTGCTGTATAGTTAAATGAAGCTTCAAAATCCCCTTAAAGGAGTAGGTAAGTGGAAATACACATATAGGGGACAGTGAACAGAATCCTTATAGAAAAGATATGTAATATTACATTCACTGATTGAAGGTGCATTAATGCCAGTCGTTTTGATAAATGTACTGCTCTGTGCGTATAGGAGGTGTAGGAGAGAGAGTGAATCAGATCAGTAGAATCTCAGGTTCAGTTACAGCACAGTACAGCATGAAGCCCATCTCATCAATGTCATCCTCAGTAGAGCCCTGAAACAGATTGACATTAGGTTTGAAGTAACTAGGCAAGATTCCCGTTTCCAGAAATCCGATTAGCTCCGTGATCGCCTGCAGGAACCTATCAGCAAACGCTGATTCCGACCAATCTGCTTCTTTTTCACTCATGTGTAGAATGACGTTGCAAAGATGGCTGCCGTTGAGCTTGCGTAGCGAAGGGCAGTTGCGGCACACCGCCTTCAGCGTTTTTAGGCACTTCCTTCTGACCCCCGAGTCTGCTTTGTCAAGCGCTGCTAGTCTAGCCGTTTCGCTGGTGTATAGGCTCTGATACCAGACGTAGTCGAATGACCCGGTGATCTCTCGTTGCGCTGTAAGCGTCATCTCGGCAAGGCGCACTGTTGGCAACACTGTTATATAGAAGCGTTCTCCACTGTCATAACTGCTTTGGGTTAACCCTTGAATCTCCAATTTGAGCTCTGGAGACCCAAGCACTGGTCGCACCTCGCACTCCAGGGTTCCGGTCAGCGATGGCCAGTTCATCGATTCCATCACAGTCTTGCCTAGTTGCTCAGAAACGAGCCGTGATGACAGGTATCCACCCAGCAAATGTCGGTCCCAGTAGCTCTGCCCCCTCGGGAAGTACTCGAGGTTTTCACGCCGAACCATGCAATACTGAGGGTGACCCAAAAATGTGTCCTCTCCGGCAATAGGCGTCCACAGACTGGACTCCAACTGTATGGAACACATTTGTAGCTAATTTAAATACAGCCTCAAGAAAAATTTCAGGGCCAAGCACATGGCCATTGTAAGGTCCAAAGATTCAACTGGTGATAGTTGTGATATTAAGGGTGGTCTGAATATGATCTAAACCAATTTTGGTCAACAAAATCGTAGATATATCGTAGAAAGAATCAATTGAAAAGGACAATTAAAAATGTAAATTAAAAACTAGGGACCTAGATGATTTTTTTTAAACACTGTTGAAAATGATATAATAATTCAAATAAATATATATATATAATAAAACACACCATATTATTATATTATATATTAATTATATTATAATAAATAATCAAGAGTTTTTGGCAACTCCCAGATCATTATATTATATTACATTATATTATATTACACTGAATTCAGGGAATAAACAATTTAATTTGATCATATTCAGACCTAAATTTGGTCAACCACTGACAAAGATTTTTACAAAGAGTCACCAAAAACGATGCTCATTTAAAAATGGTGTAAAGGCTTATGGAAGACCTACATAAATTGTTTTTTTAATTTTAGCTTTTGATTTTTGATATTAGATTTCATTTATATTGTATTATAATAAATATAATATAATATCTGCTGAAATCTGCATGACCCAGGAATTCTGAAGAAGAACAAACAACATACATTATCTGTAAAAAAAAATGCAGGCTATCTCTGGATATCATGGATCTCTATGGGTCTTTGAGATGTACAGGATAGGAACTATTGTATAGTCAGGACATTTTTTTTTTTTACACGTGCAAGTGGTCATCCACAAAGAATCTTGATACCTGTAGGGGCACGATCAGACAGGTGTGGTCGGCTTTTACCACTTGCAGGTCGTCGAGCAGTGACCCCGCCAGAGTCATGTCTCCCAGTGGCATGTCTGGGCGTTTGGAGTGCAGGAAGGCCTGGATCTCTGTGGCTATATCTAACGCTCGCTGCTGTGCGACAGACACCTCCTCCACTGACAGACACACTCGTGTTCTGTAGTACTGCTGCAGATGCTCCACAAACGTCATCACACACAGATCCATGCGTTTCCGTCGCTGAAGTGGTTCAGTGTCACAGCGCTGGGGCTCAGGTGAGGGCAGGGGGATGGGTTGGGACAGCTCCGCTAAACAAAAAAAGGGTTTCTACTGAAAACAGCATTCACAACCCATTTTACTTCCATAACATGATGAAACGGGATGTTCAGTGACAATATTAATGCCCGAGTAAGACAATTTTCCCAAAATGGGACAATGTACAGTATATTCAATTCTATTCTATTTCATTAATAGTAATAACTTGATAAATAGTAATAGTAAAATAATTTGACTTCTGGTTAACATTGACCAGTTTGAGAGGTGGAGTTCTGACGTAAAATCTCAGTTTTTTTTTTGCCTGTACTAGCATGCACTGATGAATTGTGCAAAATAAGACCCTAAAAAGGGTCACTTTTAATTAATTGCCTTTTAGCAACAAGAAACTTTAAGTCTTCCAAACCAAGGTATTTCCCAAGTATGTACCTTTCTTGGTTGCGGCAGCAATCTGTTTCATGACCACTCCTTCTATACCCTTGTGCAGTAGTTTGGGGGAGGCACTGACCAAGCCTAACTCCTCCCAGCTGTCTGTCATCTTCTTGTCAGGCTTCTCATCAGGAGGCCTACCAGCACGCTCTATCAGCTACGACATCACAGGTAGAGCAAATATAGGAGACAACAAATTAACAAGTAATCAAAATAAGCTCTAATAGCATGTAACAGTTAGGTTCTAGAAGCAAAAATTACATTCATTTTCTCAACTGGAATTGATTTAAGGATCATTTATAAACACAGACCTACTGAGAGCTATGAGGTTCACAGTAATCAGTGGTATATACTTTCGTGGAAGCCATCAGCCTGCATTGTTTCAACTTATGTTTTAAATAATCATGTTTAACAGCTGCAATCCTGGTGAAAAACTACATTACCCATAATTCTGCAAAGAAATCTCCCCCAAACAGAATCTAAACAAACAAATTTTGCCAACACCGATAGAGCACTACAAATGATGTGGAGTCAGTTTTCCTATGTAAACATTTGTACATACGCACACACACACACATATACAGTAGTCAACATTTGAAGTGGATCAAAACCTTTCATCCAAGTGAAAGAACGCATTTTGAGTTTAGGTTTTAGGACAACTTTGATTAAAGGTTTTGATTTACTTCAAATATTGACTAGTGTATATATATATATATATATATATGTGTGTGTGTGTGTGTGTGTGTGTGTATGCTGTCAAACGATTAATCGTGATTAATCTCATCCAAAATAAAATTTTTTGTTTACATAATATATGCGTGTGTACTGTGTATATTTATTATGTATTAATATATATTTCAGAAAAGTATGTTAGGTTTATATATTAAATATATTTATATACAATATAAATTATATGAATATAAATATATACCTTTTTCACACCACTGTATATATATATATAAACATGGTTTTATGTTTATCCATTGCTATTACTTTTAATGTTGCTCATAATGCTAGTGCAGTGTAATTGTAGTTCTTTCCCTCATTAACACTGTTGCACTCTATAAACAAAACTATATCAACCACTCAGAACTTTGTGGTGTGTAATACGCTAAAATGAATAATCACCCGTTTCACAGCTAATGTGGCAATGCCCAGCACCACAGCTCCGCCGACCCCCAGCACCAGCCGGGCATTGGACAACAGGAAGTCAATGACAGCAGCAATTCCATCTTCTCCTCGCCTTTTACTCGAATAATACATCACGTCCTCTGTGGGTGTCTGAAAATATCAATAGAGACTTACATGACCATTTGATTTCACATGCACTTCCTCATATGTCACAGTTTTTAGACATATATCATGATATAATTATGGTACTAAGAATACCATTTGTGTACCATAAATAGTAGTCATCAGTATCACAGTACTATAAATTAAAGTGCTATTATTGATTTAACCATCTGATACGATTAATGTACCATCACAGTACTCTGTCATGAAGGTTAAGACACACAGTTCTCACATGTGCTACGTGACAGACTTGTCACTCTTTCTCTCTCTCTCAGAAATAGCCATGGATTTTCACGAACTCAGACCCAGGAGGGGGCTTTACCAGGTCTAAAATTAGACCCATGTAACTCTCCACTTATTCATATGATAATTTTGTGATCATGACTTAGAGTACAGTTTCCATCTGTGATCTACAGGTTACACTAGTAAGACATGGGTGAATACAGTATCTCATAAATACCTTTTAGGCTTAATATTTTTTATTCCAAAAGGATTTACAGATTCAGTTGCTGGCCAAGAACTACATCCCAAAGGTATTTTCCAAAAAGCACAGCAAGTTCTTGGCCAGCTCACAGACTACAAAAAAAAAAAGAAGTCTACAATCTTTATATGGTTATTGGATAAACAGCCAAATACACATTGAGTTAGTACACATTAAATGACAGGAGGCCTGCATACAGATGGACTTTAAAACCTAGATAACATTAATTGTGTTTTCAGAAAAGACAGTTAACGTTAATGTATGCAAACCTGTTTAACACTATCAATGGTTTAAATCTGTCACGTTTACAGACGTGCTGTTTAACACGTATAACAATACATGACGTTTTTCCTTGCTAAATATTACATTAAACCACATATAACCACCAAATATTCGAATAATTCATTTCTGTAGTTAAGAGTTAAACGAAATGAAACCGAGTCAAACAATAGTGCTTCGCTTTGTTATTAGCGTTTGCTAACTTCACCAGCTGTCGAACGCAGAAAACTAACACGCGTATTGATGTTACACAACTAACAGTTTATAGGCCTAATCACGAGTTAAACAGCTAACTTACCTTTATAAGGTAGTGTCAATTCAGAGCCATTACAGTAGAGTATCAAATCGAGTAAGTTTGTCTAGCACACACTTGCCCTCTCACCTATAACAAACACCTCATACGTCACTATCCCGCGGATTGACGTACATATGGACCAATGAGATGACAGTATCTCCATACGTCACAACTTCACGGTGAAAGAGCGTTGTTGTGTTTCTATAGAATTTCTATGCATGGACAAAAATGAAAAAGCACATCTTTTATAACTATTAATTTAACGGGGTGGCTACATATTGTACGATTTTTCATACGTTATTTTGAAAATACCATAAATGGTATCGTTGCGTGTTATATTTTCTTATACTGTGACGCTTAGTTATTTTATTGCTTGTGTAATGCAAACGTGGTCACATTGTTCATTTTAGTAAATGGAACGTACATTTTTCTTAAAAACATAATAAATCTGTTGTTTAATTTGTATGGCGAAACAAAGAACCTTAAATAAAATAATTTGTACATTAGTACTTGATTGAATTTTGTGCTAATAACTGATTTAAAATATATTCCATATTATCCAGTTTATTAATAAGTGTTACATTTTTATTACTGATTTATTTATATGTAAACGTATTACTTATTCAAATTATAGATTCATTATGAGTACATTGGTTAAACATTTGGTGCTGTTTTATCACCCTTCTATGAACTGAAAACAGTAACGTCTCCCCCAAGATTTATATGTAAAACAATAACTAGCCACAAGCAACGTTGTAATCAACCTAACATAGTTTTCAATAAAAAAATTTGGTGGAGAATTCTCTTATATCATCTAGTGGACAATCACCACTCTTTCCACTCACAACCATTGCTTGAAGAAATAACCTGTGGGACATTTATTGGGTAAACAGTGGGTACATTGAGGTAAATAGTTTATCCAACAATTCAAGATGGCATAGTGGCACAGAGATCCAGCCAAACTAAATATCTGCATTTTTTTTGTTTTCTGAACTGAATAAAACAATGCATCGTGCAAATTATAAATATAAGACTTGGAGCAAGAATGTAAACCTTTTTTATGCATGTTAAAATAAATGTGGACAGAAAATGATGTTCCTATTCCATATTAATGGACAATGCAAACTGAACTAAAGAAAAACAAACTTTCTTAAAAAGTAACACGTAATAAAGGAGTTTTAGGAAAGATTGGATGAGATTGTTTTGGTATTTAAAAGTTAGCTACAAAATACAACAGATATGAATAATCTCAATTTCAATAGAAATAAAGAACGAACATAGAATCTTCCAAGAACACACAGAACATCTCCCTTTAATCTTTTAGGCAGTCTAATCTACTCATTTGATTTAAACAAAAATAGTCTCATGTCAGCCTTTTAAATACAAAGTATATGTAAGTATATATAGTCTCATGTAGTCAAATGCACTTTCTGTTAAACACCTGCAATGGGAAAGACACTTTATCATCTTTCTTCTACATTTTCTGCACTTCCATTCAACCTCAGAAACAAATAAATCAATAAAACACAAACTGTTGCCATTATGACAGTCTTATACAGGTCTCTAATGTCAGCTGTAATGTTGGCATGAATTAATTCTTTCCTTCAGATATAAAGAGCCAAAACAAATACACCATGGTTGTCAAATCAGAAGTTGTTATAATGGCAACACCACCCTTAAATGGGGGAGAAAAAGAAATAAGCATTGAGAACAGAAAGAACAACATTCAAATGAAGAGATGACTAATGTAACATTTTATCCCATTTTAGAAACTAATACTGTGCATGTCAAGCATATCAAAGATTCTATGCCTTAGATTTGATCTTGTCTTTGTTACTAAAGCCACCGTGCACAGGCAAATGCACTGATAAGCCACTGTATGCAAATCAAACATTTTATCATACTATTAACTTTAGTCAGTCTATCAGCATGAATAAAACTTGCCTTTTATTTTCCCTCTGGCATTTTCTGACTTAAAAACAGTTTGATTGCCAGAATGTATCCAACAAAACTCTTAAAGCCAAAAAAATAAAATAAAATAAATCAACCATATTTATGTTTAAAGGAGCAGTTCTCAAAAACCCAATACACATTTTTATTTGATATTGTTATGTGAATGTATGTATGCATGACACTGGCACATGAAGTTAACTGGGGTGCAAACTGATAAATTATGACTGAATTCAACTAGTCAGCTTACGTCTTTTTATTCCATACGTTTCCTTTAAACACACAGAACAAAATATAGTGGATTTTAATGATATGTCTGAATAGGTCGATAAAGCCTCTTAATAAGTAAAGCAGCCGCTGCCTAATGTTCTTGAATCCACCCACAACGGAAGCAACTCTTTTACGGAGTCCCTCTGTTGGCTTCCGGTCCCCTCGAGCAAACGTAAAGGCGTCTGAGGAGATCAGCATTGAGTTCTGACTGCGTCTCAGTGACGTCTCATTTTGACTCGTCGAGCGGGTGCGTGGTCGTGTGTGTAGCGTGAGCCTGACTCTCTCTCGTCAGCTCTCCTCCACGAGTTCTCTGAACTGTCTCCATCGTGACGTCTCTGTCGGGAAGAGAGGGAACGCCTCTGCAGCTCTTTGTCCATCTCTAAAATACGAGGCCTATAAGAGAAAAAGCAAAAAGCTATTAGCAAACTGTTTGTGTGGATTGCGAGTGTTCTGTTGTTGGATGTAATAATGAACATAGCAGTCGTCATTTACTCCCGACATCTGAGCCGCAGTGGAGTACTTTTGCTTTTGAAGGGAATGCGCCCCCTGATCTGTCTAAATGCATTTATGTTCGCGTGAATCTTTGTAGGTGAACCAGCTTCACCTACAGAAGCGAGTATAAGGATTTTTTTTAATGAATCTTTGCAAATCGTCTTTCCTAATAATGTGCTAGTTACAGGGGCGTGTCTACATGGTGGCCAGGGGTGGAAATTTGGCTGGCCACCCCAGGTGCCCCCCCTACCAGATGTCTTGCCATAGGCTTGTTTTTAGTAAATTTCTAATTTTAGGCGGTTTCTATAGTGTGATCTTAATGACAATGTCGAGAGCGCATAATGTTACGCGATCCATGTGCGCGAGGATGATGGGCATCTGATGTCCCCTTTAAAGGACCAGTTCAAGCAGAAATGGAAATTCTGTCATCATTTACTCACCCTCACGTCGTTCCAAACATGTATGCTGTTACTTTTATTCCATGGAACACAAAAAGGATCTTAACGCAGCTCTATTTTTAATGACAGTTCATAGTGACCCCAGCATAAAGGTTCTGCTGACTGATAAGACAGTGCTAGAAATACTGTACACTCTTAATCAAAAAATTGGGGGTCGGTAGATGTCTAATGCTTTTAAAATAAGTCTCAAATGCTCGCCAGGGATGCATTTATTTGATCAAAAATACAGTGAAATCAATAATATTCTGAAATATTATTACAATTTAAAATAAAAAATAAATTGTAATTTATTTGAATATATTTTAAAATGTAATTTATTCCTATGATGCAAAGCTGAATTTTTAGCATCACTACTCCAGTCTTCAGTGTCACATGATCCTTCAGAAATCATTCTAATATGCTGATTTGCTCCTCAAGAAACATGTCTTTTTATTATCAGTTGAAAATATTTTTTAGGTAAACTGTGATCCATTTTTCCCCAAATGCTTTGATGAATAAAGAGTTCAAAGCAACATCATTTATTTAAAATAGAAATATTAACTGCCAATTTTGATCACTTTAATGTGACCTTGCTGAATAAAATGAATAATTTGATGAATAATAAGGATTAATAAGATAGTAGTACAGAGACAGAGTATTAGGGGTGGAACGGTTCAACTTACTCACGGTTCGGTTTGTATCCGGTTTTAGAGTCATGGTTTTGGTATGGTTCAGTATATGCTATGTTTAGGGAAAAACTATACTGTTAAATAAAAATAAAGAAAATAAGAATAATCTAACTACAAGCAACAGCACAAATAAATACAATAGAGTAAAGATACAAATAAAATAAGTGATTTTCAGTTTTTTTTAGGTAGGTCTAAGATTAGTTTTTAGGTACAGAAATTGAATATAAAGTAATGAAATGCAAAACATCATTGCATATTTAACTGTATAAATTAAAGATCTTTATTAAAGTCACAAAAGCTATTCAATCAAGAGCAGTGAGTGATTTCTTTGTTGTTGCTGTTTGACTAATATTAAGAAAGTGCTGTCACTTTAAGACACTGTAAGTACGTTCAGCCGGCTATGTCTGCTATAGGATACTTACCAAGACGGGCATTTTGACATAATTTATTTGTGAATTTGTCCATTTAAACACAATACTTCAGAGAGTTTAATATTTGCGCGCATTCTGAGGCATGGGTTTGCACGCTTTGGATGAGCGCACGCACAAATATTCTCACTGCGCGCGCGAGCTCGCGTCCTCTGGCTCTTAAATGTTTAAACTGGCAAGGTTTAATAAATGAGTTGAGTTAAAACGCAGATATCAATGTGTGCTGTTCAGGTCTCACCTGTGCACGCGCGCTATCAGCACCCGGGTGATGACGGAATAAATGTCTGCTCATATTCCAGCATACGGCATTCGCATTGAACAAGAGTGAATGGTTTGTCCACTTTTTTTTTTTTCATCGCTGTTGTTGTAATGTATTGGGAAGCCAGAATGCGCATCCATCAACAGAAACATACATTAGCCGAACCCTGTTTGTTTTACGTGTTATTTATAGCAAACCATATTACAGATGCATTGTCAGATTTAAGTTGAACCACGGTCCTAGCGCGTGCCGAACCGTGTGTGGAGAACCGCACGGTTAGATTTTTTTCCGCGAACCGTTCCACCCCTACTGAGTATAATGGTCATGTGATATCAAGATGGCGGCCAGTATTAGGGTGGTCTATGTAGAACAAAACAGCTTTTCCAGACTAATCTTTACTTCATAAACATTTGTCATATTTGCTGTAGTTGTAAAACTATTTTAGGTAAATAAATTAACTTTTGTTTCACCTTAAATATTAGAAACTAGGTTTCTCTAATTTATGAAGAAAATCTGAAGAAACTGTAGAAAATCCAGCCAGATTGCTGGAAGAAGTCCGTGTTCAACTCTCCTTAACAAGCCACGCTATTTTAGCTATCA